TTTAGATCACTTTTTAAAATTTATGTTGAATACTGTACACGAAACGTCAAGTTTATAAAAATGCGAAAGCTCACAATGTTTATCACCGCTGTTTGTGGTTTATTTTTGAAGGCTAATTCTATTTTCGCCCTTCGATTGCTGAATTTGTGGTCCATATAACTTACGGTGTGACCAAACTTTCGAAATAAAACGCGCATTCAACTTGCAGCTCTAAATCTTTCTAGTCAAATATAAAAAAAAAAAGAAAAAAAAATAGATGTAAACCCTGAGGACTTGGAAATTGGCTACTTCCTTTGAAATTTTAACCAGTTTCTCCTTTCAAACAAAGCTGATGATACCCTGGGTGCCAGAGGCTTTTCAAGTGCGGTTTCCGGATTCGGTTAAGTCTTAAAAAGTGTCTGCTCGTGTCTGCGTACGAAGGCCGACGAAGCTCCTCGTCGCACGCGAGGAAAAAACCTCTGGTACCCAGAGAAAGCTGATGAAAAGACTGACTCATAATCTTACTCAGAGGAAGAAAATCCTAAAAATTTTGAAAATGTTATTTCAGGTCGCAGTTTATAAGGAGGAGAGGGGACTGAGCAGAGATTTGAAACAGTTTTCATTGGCAACAACTATTGATTCCTTGGACGATAACAAACTTATGATGAGAAGCTTCTTTGCCATTTCCACTATTTTTCAAAGATGAACCGAAAAAAACATGTAAGCGACCCCGCGTCCGATACGTCTTTTATCCTTTAGGAAAAAGCTCAGAAAAACCTTTGAGGGAATGGCACCCACTCCCTCCCCCCCTTTGTACGTCCGAGGGTTGACTTTGTCAACACGTGGTGCATTTGCAATTTGATTTCACTTTGAAATGAAAGCCTTTGTAATGTGCTGTTGTTTTCGTAAGCTAATAAAGAGATTAGAACTCTTGGAGCCAAGTTACCAGGCAATGAACCATTCGACTTCGTACGTCAGGTAAGAAGTCTGTCGTGATGTCGATTTATGTGGATCTTGATGGGAAGAAAATCTAACTGGAACCCAGACCCTATCAGTAAGTTCATTTCCAATTCTCTGTTTTCTTCTCATTTTTCATTTTCCCATTGTTTCCCCGTTCCCTGTGTTTGTTGCACGCTCCCCATTCCACGTTTTTGCAACATCCTTGGTATATCCTTGGTAACGATTATAATACTTGCTCCATTAATAATGAAATATGAGGAAAAGGACCTCGATGAAACCGAACCTCTTTAAAGGACCTTACAGCAAACATTTCTTACCAGTCCCTTGGACCTTGTTATATCAAAGTTATAGTTATTTCCACTGTCTTTCTCCAATGTTAAAATGTTCTTCACTTCGTTATAAGTACATAGAGGTAAACTTTGTTGTAATTGGCGTCTTAATTTTAATACTGTTACCGCAGCAACGGCTCGATACAACTCAAAACTGCCGGAGGCTTCAGATAAGCCACTTTCAGACGGAATATTAAACAAAACAAGCAAAGAAAACATTTTCGGCGGTAGGTAAAACTACAATCATCGTCAAAAACGTTGGCCCCTTGGATCAATGTTGGACAACTAAATTGTTTGTGTGAGTAATTCTTCTTACATGTCTCAACATTGAATAGCGGAGAGGGGGAGGGGGGGGGGAGGGGGGCGTCGTCGTCATGAAAAGGACAAATAATCTTTTTGAAATTAGATATAAGGCGCATGAAATGGATCAATAATGCTGTTAAGTTGTTCAACCGTCCCAGCTACATACTTTTGTCAATGATTGTAGCTTAACCAAAAGAGCCAGTAGTGTATATGTTGTGGTTTTATCCTTGGTTTAAGTTTCACTTCCCTTTGTTTTAAACTCATTATCATGTCTATCATTATCATGTCTATCATTCAATACCCGAAAACAAAGGGAAATAAAATTTAAACCAAGGTTACTTTATTGAACCAAAACCTATCTATTCCCTTATCTATGGGATGCTAACCGCGAGTTGGTCCCGATAACCCGAGGTTAACTAACTGGTCCTCTAACCGCGCTTCAAACAACTCAATTTTGACCCCAAGTTAACAGACCTGCAGTTAAGAAAATTAATTTCGGGTTAGGCCTAACTCGAGGTTAATTCATCCTGTCCTTTCGAACAACCCGGCCCAGATGTCTATTGTTTTCCTTCCTCCACCTCCACCACCACATTTCTATTGTTTTATCTTAATCACTACCACCACCATTACATTTCTGTTGTTTTCCCTCCGCTACCACCATGTCATTATTGTTTCCACTCCACCACCACCACTAAATTTCTGTTGCTGTCCCTCCACCGCCACAACACCAATCCAACCACGTCATTTCCATTTATTCCCTCCGCCACCACCCCAACGTTTCTATTGTTTTCCCACCATCACCGAATATACAGGTTCTATAGAAGGCCAGACAGGCCAAAACCAGCACAAAAATGCTTAAATCATGCCAAAATATCAAACTGGAACAACTTATGGGACAATCAAAGTGGCGCGAAATGGAATTTGCATAATTACGTTACGACTCAGTGTTTTTAAGTCACGCGCGAGTCAGCGCTTATTCCTTTGACAACAGGAATAAACCAATGAATAAATTTCGTAGTTTTTAGTTAACCAATAAAAAACGAGATATGTATAGAGCTGGAAATAACTAGAAATCCTATCCAACGGTTTAAAACATAGCACATGAACTTATCTTAATGAGATTCCCCCGCACGTCACTCATGAGATATTAAATAAGGTTATGACGTCTATTTATTTACCAGCTTTTCTGGATACAGGCCTGCCCAGAGGGAATGTGCACGAACGGGACTCAGGTCCCATGCGAGATGCCATCCCTAACCAATCCCACAACCCGTAAAGGTTGGCCACACCACCAGGGTCTACGACCCCTGCTCTTTTCAAATGGTGATATGGGTTCTTTCACGTCCCACAAGAACAAATCAGTGAAAGTGCTGTGAGACGGAACCTACGGCTTTTCGTCCTTATCCGAGAAGACTAGAAAGTCTAACCATTTGCAGATGTCAATACAAAGGCAGCACTTTCTTCTCAGTTATTTGAAGACCCTGAGTATCGATTCGGCCGGGGTTTGAACCCGCAACCTTCCGCTCGGCAGACCGGCGCTCTCCCAACTGAGCTAACCAGGCGGCGGTAATCGACATCATCGCAGTTAATAAATTCCTGCCCCCCCCCCCCCCTAATGAGATCCCTAACCAAAGCATGAGTCTAAATGGTGCACTCTGTACTACTTAGGTCGGCCTTTGGTGTGAGTTGAGAGAGTTCTATGAATAGAGTTCAAACAACAGGGTTCGTACAGGTTTTTGGATCTAAAATTCAAGACTTTTCGCAGACTTTTTTTTCCAAAACAATGACTTCTTTTTCCAGACTCAAGGTTCTCAAATATGTGATCTATAGAGACCTTAAAAAAACGCAGGAACAAAGCTTTTTTTTCATGAGCTTTCGTGGTACGCTGCAAAAATAAACAATTTTCTAGAACTTATCTCTATATTGCAGACTTTTTTACGAATTCAAGAGTCTGTACGAACCAAGTGCTAATGAAAACGAGGAAGGGGAGGAGGGGGGAATTGAAACCTGTGCAGTTGATGCATCCTCTCGCAAAGCCTGTGTAATTAACCTCAGGCACGTTGGAAAACTTGAATGTTCCTGCTGCTGTATAACAGTGAGTTGTGCCAATGTTGGGGAATGTGTCATAAGAACAAGGCATCTGAGTCTGCAAATTTTCTTCTTCACACAGCTCAACATTACCCGAACCTAGGCAAAAGTTACATGTTGTTGGATTGACAGCTGTGGAAGCATAAAAGTCAGATTAACGCAGAAAATAAGTATGGATAGAAAGGATAAAGTAAAACTAGTGTAGGAACAATTACCTCTTTAAATTTGCTTCCACGTTAACCTCTGTCTACATAAGCGTTAAAAGATTTCATTTCCTTAATTGTTTGTTGGATTTTATTCTTTTTTTCGGTGAAGGAGGAAAGGCGAATCAATAACGTTGTCCTCGTTCAATTAAAAGGGCCGGAGCTGTTGTCTTTGGGTTCATTCTAATGCTGACTGTCAGATTCTGTAAACACAATTCTTCCTTTTATACTACTACATGAGAAATTCCTGCAATTTGATTGGCTTAGAGCAGTGGTATTTCAGCTTAATTTGAAATACCTACATGTGAAAATTACAAACCTTTTGCGGGTAGTAGTATAAACAAATAATAGCATGATTTGTACGTGATATTTGGCATAAATACCACTTGTGATATTTCAAAATTGTCTCAAATTTCACTCGCCTAACGGCTCGTGAAATTACGAACAATTTTGAAATATCACTCGTGGTATTTATGCCAAATATCACTACAAATCATGCTATTACCTATACAAATATAGGTTAGGGGGAAAAAGTAAGATCCGTGTTATTGGACAGAGCTGGGAATAGAGACGGGGGTCTCATTTGAGAGAAGGGAGTCTATTAAATTTGGCAAAGATGATGGTATCAATTGTCAAAAAGAACGAGAACAAAAAATGGAAAAGTTCAGGAACATAAAATTGGAGTTAATTCGAGGATCAAAAACTTCAGGCACTTGAATCAGAACCATACGCGATCAGTCCAACATGAAGTGTTACATTCGTGATTAATTAATACAGTCTATCATTTAATAATATGGGGGGAGGGGAAGAGGGGCTTAAAGAGAGGGGGCGTTATAAGCTGCTTCTGCTGAAGAGGCGAGAGGAATTATTTGAGTGGGGGATCTGAATAGAGGATTTCCAGTATTTATTTGAGGACCTCAAGTTTATCAGTGCCCATTATAACTTTCAAGTGTTACCTTCTTTAAGTACAGTCTCCACTCAACTCCATACCATTTGCAATATTAATTTTCAGTTGAAAGTACTGGCCAGTGCCAGAATGATAAAACACTGTTACGTGCAAAGCAAAAGAAGTCACTCAAACTAAGCCAATTTGCCTTCAACGCAGAAGGAAACGTACCTTATTGAATCCTCTGTATCTAAAACAGCTGTACTTGGTTCCATCCGTCTCACACACAACTAAAACCTCTCCTATTTTAGTGTCGTCCTCAATCAGTTCGATGATGCCCTTGGTAACAGCAGAAATCCTATTAAAAACAAAACAAAGCAGAACAAAAGACAAAGTTAGGATTATACCAAAGCTCTCAATCCTAGAGTTAAACATTTTCACGTTGTGTGAAACTTTTTACTTTAGAGTCGTTTTATGACCTTTTTCAGTAGAAGCTTCTGTGTTCTGTTCTCTGCGGTACTGAAGCATAGACCCGAAGAACTCTCTATGCATGCGCATACGAGTGGCATGATGAGGTGGCGGCTTTTACGGTTAGGGGTTGGCTTATATACTTCCACAACGGGTTAATGGTACTATTTAATCAAGTTTAAATGTTTCAAAATATAGTTATTTCCAGCATAGGAAAAACAAACCAAAAAGTAACGCAAGGAACAGCTAGAAAAAAATTGAATTAAACTAATTCAATTAAACTTACGGTTGTTTGGGGAGGCTATCTTGTGCTTCAATTCCCTCCTTTCTTAGTTTGTGTCTAGGAAGGTCCATTTCAGTGTCCGTTCTTCCAGGGCAGATACAGTTCACACGGATTCCTTGATCTCTCATAGCTGCCTTCATTGACAAAAAGAAACGAAATGGTTCTTTAGAGGCAATAATGTTCGTTAACTCTTAGGGTGTATTCGCTTGCAGTACACGCGTATAGCCGTCGCAATTGTCTTGAAGGCAAAAAAACAATTAACAATTTCAGCGAGTAAAAGTGACGGCTATAAAAAAAGCGCTTTATTTGAGTGTTAATGTATTTAGGGCGAAAGTACTAACTGGGGACACTATTTCTGACAGGAGCGTCATATTTACGTGGTCATCTGAGCCAAGCGAAGGTCCAGCCATAGATGCAGTGCAAAGGGGGTACCTTCATTTCTCAGTTATTTTAAGACCCTGAGTATTGCTCCGGTCTCGGGAATCGAACCCGCGACCTCCCGCTCTGTCGTAAAGTGCTCTACCGACTGAACCAATCCTTACAAATGTAATTAACACCCTTTCTTAAGACCCGTTTACATGGGTGCGGACAAATTTTTGAAAGGAAAAACCCGCCTTTCGCTTACATGGGACCCGCGGATCTGTGCAAGTATTTGAACGGCAAACAGTACAGCAATCTGTGACAAAATTTGCCCGGTTCCGTGCTCACAAACCTGTTGTACAGGGGAAATTTTCGTCCCTTCAAGAATTTGTCGGATCAATTTAGGTATCTGGGAAACTGCCCACCTACCCCTCCCCTAAGGTAACATTAACACTTACTTCTCACTTAGGGCAAAATGATGGCTTAGGGGAGGGGTTGGCGGGCAGTTTCCCTGAAACCTAAATTGAGCCAATTTGTCCGCACCGGTGTAAACGGGATTGAAGAGGTACAGTTCTTGTCAAATTTCAGCACAGAGTGAGCATTTTTTGTTTGTTTTAACTTAGGCCCCGTGCACACTGACGCATGAAATGTTTTTCGTCCACACATTTGCTGTAGAAGTGCAAACAAATGTCTATAAATCTGGAAACGCAACGTTGCCGGAGACGTCAGTGTTTTCAAAAAGTTACGTTCTGCAAAAAAGTTTTCCATTCAGACTAAAACGCAATGCAGGTATTTTAAATTGAAGTCATATTCATCCACTTTGAAAAGAGTCCGTTCTCGGTGGACAATTTACGCGGTAGGCCTGAACGTAAGGATAAAGTAGTGCTTTTAAATGTATCTGATGTAGTGGTTTCATTTGATTGGTTCAAATGCACGTTTTAGTTTAACCAATCATCAAGCGGGAGCAATTTGAAAGCAAATCAGATGGGAACTGCCTTTTTCTCAACACATTGACAGTTACTCAAAAAGAAAAAAAAATGTTCTGTTACAACATTTCAGAGACATACTCACATTTGAAATACTTCTAGTAAAGGCTACAATCCCGTGCTTTGTGGCGCAGTGCACAGGAGCAAGTTTCCACGCCGAAAGGCCTGTCAAAGCAACAAAGTCATGAACTAAAGATCAAGATATGACATAATAGTTAAATGTACTGATAATTTCGCTATTCGTTAGTGTTTTTCTTTATTGTAATTATTCCTGACCAGTATCCATTCTCTAAAAAATAATCCAGGGTATATTTTCTCGACCGACTTGTTAACTCAGTTACAAGACCGACGCCAAATTTTCAAATCAGTGACCACCAAGTATAGTAGTGCTATCCCCTTACCATTCGAATTGTTTGGTAAGCCGATGCTTCTTTTTGTATTTCATACAAACGTTTTTAAAACCTGACTTGAATGCAAAAAGGGAAACGGCATTTAAAGCTGTAAACTTGCACATAGCCAATTACGATTTGACAATATCATGAGGCAGAGGGGATCGACAAGCATGCTCACCAATCTCTTATCAGTGAAGTGAATGTTGATATAACTATATTTTCAACAAAGTTGCTAGCTCGAAACTGTAACAGTTGAATAAATG